AGATACATTGTTTTACCTTAAATTTCTTAAAACATTTTTGTTCCTAAAAAGTTTTATATTTAAGAAAAGAAAACCTGTAGGAGTGAGTTTTCTATTACAGTAGCCACTAGCCACAGGCAGCTATTTTAATCAGCTAAAATTAACACATTAAACATTACTTTTCTCAGTTGCACTCTCCCCACTTGAAGTACTCAGTAGCTGCATGAAGAACCTGCCCATGGCAGAGAGTTCTAGAGGACTGCTTCATTCCAGATTGTAAAAATGGGTTTTTAACTTTTTCTCTTTGTTAAGTTAATTTTTGTTGGGGTAGAGTAATTTACATTATGCCTATATGTTGACAAAATAAATATTGATTTGTTTGCTTCACTGGATCAACTTCTGTATAATTAAACTTTAGCTGGAAAAAATGAGCTTTCAAAAAATATACTTCTACCTACTGTTTATTATTTAAGCTAATTATTATTTAACTGAATTTATCATAGCAAAAAAGATACAGGGATAGATGGCATTGGAGAGGTTTATGTCTCATCAAGAACGGCCTTGCATGTTATGCCCTGACTTCAGGGTTCGTAAGACTTCCCGAGACAACCGGGAACGGTCGACAGATCCTAAGCAGGACGGTGGCCGATCAGATATGCATTCTGCTAAAACCAGCATGCACAATGGATTGTCGATTTGAGCTTGGAGACTGTGGCCACAGACCAGGACCAAGATACAGTGGGGGCACAGTGAGGCAGACCGCAGGGCCGGGGAGCGTGAGCATCCCGCCTCAGTCCCTTCTGGCCTCATGGGGGGTGGGGCGCCATTCTTTGAAGTGAGCAGGATCATCCAAGGGCTTCCTCTTTGATGTGCAGAGTGAGGGGCTTCTTTGGAACTTGATGCAGTGTGGGGTGCAAGGAAGGAGGCAGGACCGAGTAGGCGAACGACTCCGTGCGGACGTAGTAGTGATGACAGCACCGAGGGGGATGCGTAAAGTGAGGGCGTCGTCGCGTAGTACACTGGAGGGAGGCTTTTTTTTTTTTTTCCCACAATTCTAACCTCAGCTGGGCCAAACTCAGTATTCCAACCTCACAGAAACTGCACCCTCCTCTTCCTTACCTCTCCTGACACTTCCTAGGCTGAAGCTGGAGGAAGATTTCGGAAGAACAGTCTGTTTCTTGATAAATTACGTAGCATTTTGTTGTGTGTCTGGAGTACTTTCTCATAAACAAATGCTTACAGTTATTTCAGTTGTAAGAAATATGTTTCTGTGTTCTAAAGCTGTCGTGTTGTTGTTTTTATAGTCTTATGATCGATCTTATTGAAGTTGAAAAGGAGCGCCTTTTAGATGAAGTAAGTTTCTCTGCGGATCGGTCTGTTGGAGAGTGAACCACCGCTGTCACCCCAGTGCGGGAGCCCTAATAACACGAGACGAGCAACATCTGATTCACAAATACTAAGAACTGAGGCCCTTTAGAAACAGCAAAGTAAAAAGAAATAAATTCGAGAGTCAAATCAGATAGTACGTACTGAGTACCTGCCATGTGGACGCAAACGTAAAACTGACTTTATTGGAGGCAGACGTGTGCTCCCTGCAGGGGTCGGGGCGGGGGCTCAGTGGCCGTTTTCACAGTAGTTGGAGGTGTCACAGCGTGGCCAGCGAGACTTGTCCTGTGGAAGGTGCATGTAAATGCAGTGGGAATTCACAGCAAGAAGACACTACTTCAAGCATTTTATTACTATCAGAATAAAAAGTATGAAAAAGGGAAAGTTTGTGGCGGCTTCTAAAAGAGAGTAAGATTTAAATAAGTGAAGCGCAATTAACCAGATTCAATGATAAGCTCCTGCTTTCAGCATGACACATCTCCTCACGGACTTCACTCAGCGGGCATTCGACACACAGTGGGCAGAGAGACGGTCCCCCGTGCCTCTTCACCCTCTTTAACCCTGAGGGTTTGAGGACCGTCTTTGATTAACGTTTTGTGGTGTTTAAACTGACACAACTGTGTACTATTTTATTAATGGATATATAGTGATGAATAAAGACAAATATGTTAACTTATTTATATTGAAATTCAGTATTTGGAATCAATGTTGTATCGTCTCTTGGCCTATAAATTGCATTAAGGTAGAGGACTTTCCTATTGCTGGGCAGTGCTAGAAACCACTAGAATCCCTAGGTGTGAGGGAGGGGTGGTAGCAGTACGTAGTGCGCAGGGTCTGTGTCGGGATTAAGCAGGCTGGTATATGTAGGGCACTTAGGGTCAGATGACCTCTGCCGTCATCATCATCATCTTTGGACATGAGGTCACGAGGCATTCAAAGAGCATAGAGCTAAACATGGCGAGATTCAGTCTCCTGTGTTAACTGAGAACCACTGATGCCTCACAGTTCGTCGTGAGTGGCTGTGACACGTGTAGAGACTGGGTTTGATTCGGAAGAATTTTGCTGAACTCATGTTTTCTCTTTAGTGGTTTGCGCTGGACGAGGTTCCCAAAGGAAAGCTGCACCTGAGACTGGAGTGGCTCACGCTGATGCCAAACGCGTCCAACCTTGACAAGGTGTGTGCAGGGTTCCTCGACAACTAGCCCTTCTGGCAACTGAGATCAGTCTGTTTAAACTGTGTTGCTACTTAAATGTTTTACAAATTATAGCAACAATTCTGATTATGGTACTACAAGTCACTACAGTGCCATCAGGGATAGGTTAGAGATGATGAAATTTTTTTAAATGAAGTTTACACGTCATTCTCACCTGTTTGATGAGAACCTCAAGTTTTGTGCTTGCTGTGGGACAGAGATCTGGAGAGCCACACATGACCCGAATGCTTCACGAAATTGATTTGTATGGAATAGCAGTCTTACTGTGTAAAAGATACTTAGGTTTCAGCTCTCTCTCCTGCATGTGTTGGGTGGTTTATTTCCCACCTGTCTTTTCTCAAGCCTAACTGTCATAATATCATCAGGTAGAGATAGTCCTCACTCTTGTGGAAACCGCCTGCTGAGGCCGCCCTCTCCCTGCAGGTGCTTACAGACATCAGGGCTGACAAAGACCAAGCCAATGATGGTCTGTCCTCTGCATTGCTGATCTTGTATTTGGATTCCGCAAGGAACCTTCCGGTAGGTAACACCATGGTAACTCACTTGGATGCTTATTTCCTGGGAGCAGATCTTGCTGGGGAATCCTGCTTTGTTCAGCCACGGTGTGTTACCTGTTCTCATCTTGCTGTGTTTTCACGTCACTTTCCGTGCCAGAGAGCGGCAGTGAAGAGGGATGAGTTAGTGCTTGCTTTGTGCTTACCCACCTTCCTGGATTTGCCCGGGATATTCAGAATTATCTGATGTGTTTTACGAAGAAATATCCAATATATAGGAAAAGAACTGGTATTTAGGGGAAGAAGATATTCTGTAGAAAATCACTAAATATTAGAACTTAGTCACCTAAGGATGGAGATTGTCTCTATCTGGAATGGGAGTAAAATCAAACAGCTCTGACTGTGGCATGGCAGTGTCTGGGCTGCTGCCCTAGAGGTCCCCTAGCGTCAGGTGGCTGCAGCGCTGGACCGCGTGCCGGCCTGCGGTGCCAGCGTGTTTCCAGCAGAGCAAAAACAAACAACGTCTCTGAATAGTCTCCTGCAAACACATGATGGTCCTCAGCCTGAAAGCATATGCACCAGAATTGGTTTGTTCTTAGGGGAAAACTGTAAAACACAGTTCCATAGGCAATAACTATGACATAACCATGGAGAAGAAAAATCTCGTTAATCTAATCCTGTGAGGCACACTGTGATCTTCCAGTGTCCTGCTGTAAACCCCGCTGTTTGGGGCAATGTCACCATCATTAACGTTACGCTGTCTGACAGTTGTTTGAGTGCCCATATGCTGGTTGACTATGTGGTCAGTCTTTATTTCCTCATGTCCACGGCCAGTTTTGTTGAAAGAAAGACCACTGCCACCAGGTAGAGGTGTCCTCCCAGGACTGTATATTGCAGACTTCTGCGTGCATAGCGGATGTCTGTCCACTCAGGTCGCTTGTTACAGCAGCAAACGCCCTTCCTGCATCTTTTCTCCCTTTCTCAGTGTTTACTGGGGAGAGAGAGCATTCAAGTCAGCCTTTTCGACACCACATCCTGGATTTAAGTTATAAATGCTCCATCCAGCGTAGTCTTGCCTTGCCATGGCTAAAACGTTTCCGTGTAGTTCATGGATTATACGCCCTTTGTTTCAGTTAGCACCTTCCAAGTTTTGAAAACTGCATTTACTTGGGCTTGCTCAAAAATGAACTCCATGTGCTTGGTGCATCAGTACGTTCTAACTCAACAATCAAAATATAATTGACCATTTTTTTCATACTGGGAGGATGTAATTGTACTCTTTGTTGCATGTAATGGTATAGTTGTGCTCTTTCTTTCAATGAAGGTTTCTTGATTGATTTTTACTTCTTAAATTCTTACATTTGTCTTAAAGCACTAAGTATTACTTAAAGTATTACCTTAACCTTTTGGCCAATCTTCCAGTCTAAAGTCTGTGACTTGTATAATTTCAATTTGGGAAAAGTTATTTCATTATTATTTAACCTTTCTACAGAATTTCTCATAAAGTAGAACTTTTTGCTTTTGGTCACATTAATGTTTGTTAGAAAGTCTTTCGTAATGCCTGATGGAAGTGAATTTGTGGTATACTTTAGGGTGGTAGAGAATAGTATTGATGAATCAGCAAGAAAGGGTCAAGTCTCTCTTTAGAACTGTGTGTATTGTCACATTAAACTGAAGTTTGAATAATGGCACGTAAACAAAAGTGACTGTATTGACCATCTGTTGGAAGGACACCTGCATGAAGTACGCTGTGGCCCGCAGAGGCCAGGATCCTCACGGCCACGGCCCTGTGGGGTGTGTCTGAACGGGGCTTGCTGACCGCCCCCACATGGCCTGGGATTCTCTCCTCTGCCCTGCACCTGCTTGTTGGTGCCCTGGCGCGCACTGATCACAATCCACCATTCTCTGCTCTCTCCTCCCGGCTCCACTCTCCCAAGAGTATCTACGAGGGAAACTTTGGGTGTGGCTACTTAAAAGAGAGGCGCGCGTCGGGACTAGTGTTTTGTGAAAATACTGCCTCAGTCTATAGAGCACTATTTGTGAGTCCTCCGGGGTTATTTCTTCTTTGTTGTGGACTGGAACCCTAGCGCGGTCTGCTCAGCGCTGGAGTGGTGTGGCATGCTCTCCTGTTCTCCTGCATGATGCAGTGTCCGTGTATTTTCTTTGTGCTTGCTTTGTAAAATGTGACTCTGCTGTAACATTGGTCCGTGCGTCTCACATGAGATGACCAACCTGGCCCGTGGAAGACAAGCCTTAGATCCCTAAACTGCCACTGGCCCATAACAAAAAATAATAGTAAAAATTCTTCTGAGGAAGAAATGAAGCCATAATGATTAAAATTGATTTTCTTGTCTTTCGTCCCAATGTGAGATGTAAATATTTCCTTATAAACTTTCACAAAACTTTCTTAAATCTGCTTTCTCCTCCCGACCAAGCACAGAAGTGTCAGGACTCGGGCTTCCTTTAAGACCCCTGCTCTGCGGTCCCCTCTCAGTCCCCCAGCTGGTCACATGAAGTTAGAAATTCACCCACTTCATGATGAAAATCTGCCTTCCCCCACACGGTTTAACCACAGCTCCTAAGGGAGAAGAAAACTATATTGAGTTTATGATTCAGCTTCTTTTAAGGAATCTGAAGAATTTCCTGGAGTGGATAGTTGAGCATTTTTGGGTTTTGATCTCATTATATCTGTGTCCCGTGCCCTTTACGTCTGGCATCTTGATTCCTGGCACTGTTCTTGGTACTTTCAGTAGATGGCTATTGTCTCTTGGTTTGGGGACATAGAAAGCCACCAGTGGCTTAGTCATTAGTCTAGACAGTCATTCTTCAGATTTCATTCGATAATTAGATTCTTAAAGTCCATCGTCCCTTAAATCTTAACAGTCAAAGCGCTTTGCATTTTTGTAGAGTTTTTATTTCTATTTCCAAAGGATTTCTACATGCATTCTCACTTTATTCTTATTATTTAAAAAAGGAAGAGTAGAGAGCAAACTTGAATAATAGGTATTTTGCCCCATTTTATAGATGTGGAAAATCAAGACCCTGAAGTGTTAGGTGAGCTGTTCGAGGCACCCCAAGAGTAAGTGCAAGTGTGGTCTCTCTGGCTCGCTCACACCTGGGTAAGACCTTTTTAAAAGTCAAAAGAGGTCAGTGGTGCATAAAGGCAACGTATTCTATCACTTTTAAGGAATGATTTTCTGCTTCTGGTATTAGCAGAAAGTTTCATCATAAACTGGTATAAATGACAAGACAGCTCTGCTGTGTAAATTCCGTTAGTCTGTCTCCAGTAGCTTTTCAAAGTTGCTTTTTCTCATCCTACAACTGATTCCCTTTGCAGAAAGGAAATATTTGTGACCAGGATTTTTTGAATTGCTTTGTAATATTTAGCCTGTGACATTGCTGAGTTATCAGTGTCAGCCGTCCTGCAGTGTCACAGTCTCATCCTGTGGTCTGTTGTTAAATATATGCATCACGGCCAGACACAGGGACTCACGCCTGCAATCTCAGCACTTTGGGAGGCAGAGGCGGGAAGATCAATTCATACCAGGAGTTTGAGACCAACCTGGACAACATAGCAAGACCTCATCTCTGCAAAAAGTTTAAAAATTAGCTGGGTGTGGTGGTGCACACCTGTAGTCCCAGCTACTCTGGAGGCTGAGGCAGGAGGATCGCTCAAGCCCAGAAGTTTGAGGTTGCTGTGAGCTATGATCTCACATTACATTCCAGACTGGGCAACAGAGCAAGACTTAAAAAATATATATGTATGTATGTGTGTATGTGTATATATACACATACACACATCACATAAAATATTCTGTCAAATGAATTTGAACAGTCTTTTTTTGCCCACTGGTTTTCAGTATGAAGCCAACACCATTGTTGGCACTAGTGAGGCCCTGGGGCTGCCAGCCTCTACCCCCTTACCTCCCATCCACTCAGAACACTGATTTTCAGCTCCATGGGAGCATTACTACCAGCAGTCCCCATCTGAAACCCTAAAACAACAAGAATTTCTCCGTGTTGGAAATGACCTACTTACCATGTAGACTCTCAGAGCTTTGCCCTTTTGATGAAATCCTGGGCTTGAATTTCGGGCTTGACCGGTAAGGATGTGCTCTGACTCGTGGCCAGCTTGAGAGCCTTAGGCTTAGCTGGTAGCACAGTCGTCGAGCCCTTCGTCAGCCAGGCAGGGTTCTGAGGGCTGTAAGCATACCTTGTCACCATTTTACAGATGAGAAATTGAGATGACATAGAGAGCAAAAATGACTGAGGCTAGGTCAAGGTCCTGGGATCGGGGCGGCAGGGCAGGGACAAGAGCTCAGCCGGTCGGCCCTTCCTGTCCACCCCACCCTCGCACGCAGTGGGTCTGTTCCCACGTTATTGACTTCATAGGTTCTCAGTTCTGTGCGTGGAGTGCATCTGAGAGGAGTGGTGTTTGCAGGAATGCCTGCTTTAGGCACAGCAACGCCAGCTACACAAGGCCCCCACTGTGGAGACCCTTAGGTGTCATGACAGGAGGCACTTTGTGCATTGCGGCTCTCGTTTTAAAAATGCAGGAGGCTATTCTGCCTCCACTGATGGTGAGGAGCCCAAGGGTGCAAGGTGCGTAACTCCAGAGGCCTCCTAGTCGGGCGCCTGCCTGGACATTTGCATGGTGCGTCTGTCTCACCGCAGTCCGTGCGGCTCCCCATGACCTCACGCAGCTCCTCCTGCACACCCAGCCCCATTCCACAGCCTCTCGCCTCATTTCACTTAAATGCATGTTACAATAATAATCTTATTTAATACGGGCCATATCTATCCAAAAGTGAGCTTCAGGAAGGGTTCTTACGATGTCTGAGGATGTCAGTCCTTGTACTTCAGGGCAGCGGTTCCCAGCCTCATTCTGTGTCCCCATCACCTGAGATGTCCAGGCTCCACCCAGAAGTGGATGCCATCTTTGGAGAGCTGCTTTAATCTGCAGCTGGGATGTGAATTTCTGCCTGGCCAGATATTAGATCTTCTCTCTAGGCCGGACTGCTAGTGGTAGAAGACTGGGAGGCTAGTTACCCATCTTTCTTCATTATGAAATGTGCTGTTTAATTTAAAAAAATAAATAATTGAGTTCAACTTGTCATTTGAGTTAATTACAACTAATATGATAAAATCTTGATTGTTAGTCCCAGGAGCTTGCAAAACAAACTCAATTTGGTCCTTTTGAGGGCAAGAAAGTAAAGAATTGAAAAAAAAATCAGTAAAAGTAGAACATACTGATAAAACGCATAATAACAGAACTTTATCTGAAGCCAGGAGAAGCTTTTGAGTGGTCTGGTCTGTCTGCACTTTTCCCTGCCATGGTGTCACACGAGGGAGGTCAGTCTCGGGAATAAAAGCGGCAGCAGCTGCACGATCTGGCTGGGGAGCAATTCGGGCAGCCACAGCTCATCGATTTGTACTCCAGATAAAACCTTTAATATGGTTGATGTTTTAGGAGTCTATTCAGCAAAGAATAGCAGTAGAACCCTTTCCTAAAGTCTCACTGTTGCATTTTTCAAATCACAGAGGACAAGAGGGTGGGGGTAGAAGAATACCGATTATGCAGGGTGAGGAGGTGCGTTTGATATTTATAGATCAAGGGTTCACTCGAAGACAAGGTCTTGGGCATAAGGAAGAATTTTGCAGGTGGCTTTTTGGTTGGTTGTGTAATTCTTAGTGGTTTTTGTTTAAAGATTTTGTTTGTTTATTCCCATAAATGTTCATGTCATTAACCTTACATAAACTCCTCATTGCATGTTTTATTAACCCTTGGTATATTCATTTTCTTCTGACTTGAAAGAGTAACCCCTTAGAATTTAACCCCGATGTCTTGAAGAAGGCTGCAGTTCAGAGAGCTTTCAAGGTAAACTAATAGTTTTCCCTTCAGGTCACAAGGTTAATCAAAACATATTGAAAGAGTTGATACTGTAAGTCTCATAACTTTATTGGCAAATCACCTCCCATACTAATACAGCAATTAATTGTCTAGTGGAAGAGATCCTGCTTTTGTGATCTAAGAACTGGTAGTTAGAGTAATTTAATTCATCTTTGAGGGTACATTTTATAAAGTACCAATATGATAAGTTAGATTATTTTCCTCTTGGCCTTAGGCAACTATCTAAGGTGGTTTAAATATCTATATTTTAACTGGATTTGAATTTGTGAAAATGGTAATTTAGAAGTTCTATCAAAATCTTAACCCATTTTTAGATTGTGGTTTAAAGGTATGTCTTGTGATCTGTGAATATACATTTAAAAAAATCACCTCTTCCAATATGTCATGTTAGGATCATCTCTGAGTTAACAGCCTCATGGCTTTGGGTGCTGTGGGGTTGAGTGATAGATCTTTTGAGAAGCTTTAAATGTCATTAAATGAGGTATATTGAAAACTAAGCTCCACTCCCTAAAACATGACATTAACATGTTCTCTGGCTAAATTGTTAAAGTTTTCTGTGGCTTACAATGTTTTATTTTTTTCTCTAATTTCTTTGAACATTTTAGGCTTAAATTTGGGCTTAAATTTAGAGGGAGGTGGGGAATTTTAAATGTAATTGTTTTAAGAAAATTCTATCCCAAAGAAACAGGAGTGTTCTTTAACCAGTTTCACCTAGAAAAATAAATTAATTTCAGAAGTGGAGGAGACTTGGCCAAGTCTCCCATTCAGTGTGCTGTCGGCTAAGTCCTGTGTTGAGGAAGCAAGATGTGGCTTAGCGAGGCCTGCTCCTGAGCACAGTGTTGAAATCGCTGTGTCCGTCAGGACAGGAGAGGAACTACGTCAGCCCTCTTTCCTCTCCCATTTCTTCCCTATCTGAAGGTCACTGACCAACAGACCCCAATGTTAGGGACAAAGGCTCCGGAGCTAGGCTGGATTTGAATTTTAGCACAACTGCTCAGCAAGCTATTAATCCATTCTGTTTTGTTATTTATAAAATGGAAATAGTATCTCTTCATTGAATTATTGACTAAATTAAAATACTGCATAAAGTGTTCAGTGTAGCTAGAATAACATGTATTATAATTGTTGCATTAATTACATTAGCTTATTTAAGCCTAAAAACAAGGTTCTAAAAATGGTGTTGTACCCATTTTATAAACATGAAAACTGAGGTTCAGATAGATAAAATATGTAGGTCCAGCTGAAACTTAAGTTCAAGACAGTCTGGAGGCCGGGCGCGGTGGTTCACACCTGTAATCCTAGCACTCTGGGAGGCCCAGGCGGGCGGATTGTTTGAGCTCAGGAGTTCGAGACCAGCCTGAGCAA